AATTTCATTTACATAGCAAAAAAAAAATACAAATCCCAGTGGTGAAAAAATACCACCAAAATAAAGCTTTCTGTCTAAAAAAAAAAAAAAAATGGTAAAAAATTCATTTGGGTACAGTGTTGCATGACCGCGCAATTGTCATTCAAAGTGTGATAGCGCTAAAAGCTGAAAATTGCCCTGGTCAGGGAGGGGGTAAAAGTGTCCGGACTGGAAGTGGTTAAAGGACATAAAGGAAAGCCGCTTCTGCTGCAATGATTGCCTTTTAATCCAGAGCTGTCCCTTGCAGGTATTCCATCCTGCCACTAGATGTTGCCAGTCTTAAGGGAAATGTCAGCTAGCATCATTCAACCTACATTCTAGAATCCCAGGCTGTCATGCTGTCACCATGCAGTATTATCACACCAACTGAGGCTCAGAGCACTAATGCACAGAATGGTGCATACACGTAAAAAGCTGTCGCTCTGCGTTAATATGGTAGTAAACTGCAAGAAAGAGAGGGGGGGAAAAAAAAGAAAAGTCCCTTGCAAGGTAATGTCATAATGTGCTAGTATGCATCGCATACTAGCACATTATGGGAAAACGAAGCCCTCCAGTGGCATGCTGTCACTGCTGCAGAGGCTTCCACCTTCTTCCAGGTCTGCGATTTCTGGCCATCTTGACAGGCTGGTCCGTGATGATGTCACTCTCACGTATGCGTGTAGCAATCCTGGGCCACGGCACACAGTTCTGATGGAATGGCACGGGTATGACGTTCCTTCAGCGCGCATGTGCCGGCTTTAGAAAAGAGAATATCTCCTAAAAAGGTGCATGTTTAGGAGATATTCATTTTACCTAAAGGTAAGATTTATTATAAGCTTACCTGTACGTGAAATTAAAAAAAAACAACAAGTTTACTACCACTTTAGGCCATGTCACATGTCCAAAATATTCATAGATCAGAGTTTATCACCTGCCAAAGTTATATGCAGATCCCATTTTGGCCTGGTTTGCTTTGTGAGGCTGTCCATCATTAGAGGAGGCTAGAGGGGTGGACTTTTACCAAAAAAGAAAAATTGACCCGTGCGTATATCATTGGCATTCTATATGTCTGGATCAGCTGTTTGGTTTAAAGTGGTTGTATGCATGAAGGTAAAAAACCTTCAGTGTGCAGCTCCCCCCTCAGCCTCCCCGTTGTACTTGCCTGTGCACAAGAGCAGAAGCTCTCCAGGGTCTCTGCCTCCTCCTTGGCTGAGAGACAGCAGCGGGAGCCATTGGCTCAATCGCAGCCAGTGAGGTGGGAGTGTGGAGGGGGATGAGGCCAAGACACTGTCTCATAGATGCACAAAGGTGGCTCGGGAGCTAGCATGTATGAGTGCCCCCAGAGCAAGCAGGTTGCTCGGGGGGGGGGCACTCATTAGGGGGGAGGGGCCTGGAGCACCATCATGGGATGCGAGAGGACTAGACAAGTATGACATGTTTAAGAAAAAAAATCAGAACCTTAACAATCACTTTAACCATTGTGTGTGTTTTTTTGTTTTTTTTTTTTTCTTTTACTGGAGGTAACCTCATAATCATTTTATTTGAAGTTTGAACTGTTTAGGTTTGTTTAGTGACGTAAAATGTTGGAGATGCTCTGAAACGCTTAACTGCCTAGACCAGCCTTTCCCAACCGGATATATTTTACAGGTCCCAGGGAACCCCTGCTAAAAACGCCTACAGCTTGCAGTACAATAATGTAATCAGTAAGTTGTAGAAAATGTTAACTAGAACAATAGAGAATGGTATGTACCTGGAGTGTTTAGCACCTAACTGCCCTGTAGGACAAAAAAAAGAGATTATATTGAATTTACCATAATAACAAATTAAACCCAGACAGCAAATGTTGTGATGTCCCTATTAGTGGTCACTGTCACTTTTATATTGGTGGTCAGTTGAAAATATTCCCCCACATGGGTGGCCAGTGCAGGCAGGAGAGAAATTATCCATTGCATATTGCTCAAGAAACCCCTATGAACCCCAGGAGGAACTTTGAGAACGCTTGGCCTAGATATTTGGACAAATTTCTGCTCAAGGGAAGTGGCACTTGTTAACCAGAGATCATCCATGCCCCAGCACACTTTGGCCATCTCCACACCACTCTTTATCCTTCATTAGTTCTTGGGCCACATTGATAGCAATGATGAACAGATAGCTGTGGAATGTTGCTGGGGTTGTGCTTACTACTAACTACAGAAGCTTTTCTTTTTTAGAATCTTTAGGCTCCATACACACTGGCATTATTGTTTTTTATAAGCTGCAAAAACCACTGGTAATAGGTTTTGGTGGTTTTTTTTTTTTTTTTGTGTTTTTTTCTTCTATTTAACCACTTCCATTCTGGACACTTTCACCCCCTTCCTGTCCAGGCCAATTTTCAGCTTTCAGCGCTATCACACTTTGAATGACAATTGCGCGGCCATGCAACACTACCCATATGAATTTTTTAGCATTTTTTTGAGACAGATAAAGCTTTATTTTGATGGTATTTATTCACCACTGGGATTTTTTTTTTTTTTTTTGCTATATAAATGAAAATGTCCAAAAATTTTGAAAAGTGTTTTCCTTATAAAATTTTGCAAATAAACAATATTTCATCATAAATCTTGGCCAAAATGTATTCAGTTATCTTTTTAGTAAAAAAAAAATAACCCAAACTAGTTCATAACCAAAAATTATAAATATATTTAAAAAAAATATATATTTTTTCCATTTTTATTTTATTTTTTTATATATATACCGTATTTGCCGGCGTATAAGACGACTTTTTGACCCTTGAAAATCTTCTCAAAAGTCGGGGGTCGTCTTATACGCCGGTACACATGTTTAGGGGGGCTGCGGCATTAAGTACAGGGGTTTGCAGGGGCTGATGTCTCTTACCTGGATCCAGTCCCACGACGATCCGGTCCAGGAAGCGCGGCGTCTCCTTCAGTTCGGCCACTGGATGTTCGTGCGGCTGCTCGGCTCCGCCTCCTCACCGGTGATTGGCCGCCAGAACTGTAGCTCAGGAAAGGCACACAGGCGGCCAATCACGGCGAGGGGGCGGAGCCGAGCGGCCCCGCGAAAATTGAGTGCCGGAGCAGCAGGTAAGTATTCTGTGTAGAGGTGCTGCTGCAACCACATATGCTGGCTGCAGCAGCACCATACGAGAACAGGGTCAGCAAGTCTCAGTGGGAGGAATAGTGCCCCATCATTGGTGCCACTGATACCAATGATGGGGCACTATTCCTCCCACTGACACCAACGATGGGGCACTATTCCTCCCCCCACTGACACCAACGATGGGGCACTATTCCCCCCCCCCCCCCCCACTGACACCAACGATGGGGTACTATTCCCCCCCCCACTGACACCAACGATGGGGCACTATTCCCCCCCCCCACTGACCAACGATGGGGCACTATTCCACCCCCCACTGACACCAACGATGGGGCACTATTCCACCCCCCACTGACACCAACGATGGGGCACTATTCCACCCCCCACTGACACCAACGATGGGGCACTATTCCACCCCCCACTGACACCAACGATGGGGCACTATTCCACCCCCCCCTGACACCAACGATGGGGCACTATTCCACCCCCCACTGACACCAACGATGGGGCACTATTCCACCCCCCACTGACACCAACGATGGGGCACTATTCCACCCCCACTGACACCAACGATGGGGCACTATTCCACCCCCCACTGACACCAACGATGGGGCACTATTCCACCCCCCACTGACACCAACGATGGGGCACTATTCCACCCCTCACTGACATCAATGATGGGGCACTATTCCTGCCACTGATACCAATGATGGGGCACCATTCCCCCCACTGATACCAATGATGGGGCACCTATTCCCCCCACTGATACCAATGATGGGGCACTATTCCTCCCACTGATACCAATGATGGGGCACTATTCCTGCCACTGATACCAATGATGGGGCACTATTCCTGCCACTGATACCAATGATGGGGCACTATTCCTGCCACTGATACCAATGATGGGGCACTATTCCTGCCACTGACTGATGGGGCACTATTCCTGCCACTGATACCAATGATGGGGCACTATTCCTGCCACTGATACCAATGATGGGGCACTATTCCTGCCACTGATACCAATGATGGGGCACTATTCCTGCCACTGATACCAATGATGGGGCACTATTCCTCCCACTGACACCAATGATGGAGCACTATTCCTCCATGATACTAATGATAGGGCACTATTCCTGCCACTAATGCCAATGATGGGGCACTATTCCTGCAAATAATACCAATGATGGGGCACTATTCCTGCCACTAATACCAATGATGGGGCACTATTCCTCCCACTGACATCAATGATGGGGCACTATTCCTCCCACTGATACCAATGATGGGGCACTATTCCTCCCACTGATACCAATGATGGGGCACTATTCCTCCCACTGATACCAATGATGGGGCACTATTCCTTCCACTGACACCAATGATGGGGCACTATTCCTTCCACTGACACCAATGATAGGGCACTATTCCTCCCACTGACACCAATGATGGGGCACTATTCCTCCCACTGACATCAATGATGGGGCACTATTCCTCCCACTGGTGTGCATTGGAAGAGGGGTAGTCTTTATACGGCGAGTATAGCCCAAACACTACATTTTAGCAGGAAAAGTAGGGGGGTCGTCTTATACGCCCAGTCGTCTTATACGCCGGCAAATACGGTGTATATATGTATATATATATATATATATATATATATATATATATATATATATATATATATATATATATATATATATATATATATATATATATATATAATTTTTTACTTTTTTTCTACCTACTGTTACCCTAGAAGTACAGTGTCACTGTACTACTTGTGGGTGGTGATGAATATTTTTTTTTTTTTTTTTAAAAGGATGTAAAAGCAATCATGGTGACACTGTACTACTTGTGGGTGGTGATGAATATATATATTTTTTTTTTAAAGGATGTAAAAGCAATCATTTCTCCTCTCTGGCTGCATTCTTGCAGCCATTGATAACTACTGAGTGAGCTGTGATTGGTCACAGCTTGTCACATGGTACAAGGCTGTTGTGAATAGCCTTGTACCATGTGACCTCTGTGATCATTCACAGATTTCACACACAGTAAGCAATGATGTCAGAAGTCACATCTTGCTTACTACTCTGCATGTGATCACTGATTGGCCAATCAGTGATCACATGATCGGGACGTCGCACAGAGGTCCCGTACGACGATCGGTGTTCCACTGTGTCCGGAGGACACAGCGGGCACCGGATCACGGGGCTGCTCACCGTCCATAATGGCGGGCGCTGTTTATGAACGGCAACCCGCCCCTGGAGTGCCACCGTCCCGCAGTTTATATACAGTGGCCAAGACGGGAAGTGGTTAAGTAGTGTTTAGGAGCTTTAGTGTTTTTACAGTACATGTAGGAAAAACAAAAAAGCTTTTATTTAGGGAAAACGCTCCAAAAAAAAATACAAAATTATTTTTTTTTTTTTTCCCCTGCTTCTAGACACTGAAGCTCAAAAAATACTAATATCCTAAAGTAGTGTGCATGGACACATAGGAGAACACTATCTTCTAGGAACAGGAAAAAAAATTGCTAACAGCTTCTAGGAGCTTAAAAAACTCTAGTGTGCATGGAGCCTAAGACTGTCTGTCTGTCTTCATTTTTCATCTTGTTCTCTGCAGGATTACTGGACTATGAATAATCCCATCCAGAGCACCATCATTTTACTCATTGAGCAGATTGTGTTGGCACTAGGAGGAGAGTTTAAGCTGTACCTACCTCAACTTATTCCACACGTTCTACGAGTATTCATGCATGACAGCAGCATTGGACGATCAGTGGTCATTAAGGTAATATTTATAGGCGAAAAAAACAAAAATATATATTATAAGGTTAAAATTGGAGTTGTGTTGTGCTAGGCAAAATGTGCACCAACCAGTCAGGTGAGATCCAGTCACCACCTAACCTACAGATAAACGGGGACTGGGAGCACAATGCAGTAATTAAAAATTTTGATTAAAAATGTCCCTATAAAACACAATGAGCAATCACCGTAGGAACAACTGTTTTGGGGTCCCTGCCCTTTCTCAAGTTCAAAAGTGTGAAACTGTTCGTGTAGTTTTTGTTGTATGGTAAAAGGATATTTTTTTTTAATTTTCCATTACTGCATTACGCTTCCAGTCCTCGTTTTGATTTTGTTCTATATGTATGTATGATAGTGCCCTAGAAAGTCATAGTATTGTATTTTTTTTTTTTCCCCTTCTCTAGCTTCTGAATGCTATCCAGATGTTTGGGGCCAATCTAGATGATTACTTACATCTCTTGTTACCGCCCATTGTGAAGCTTTTTGATGCATCAGATGCACCATTACCAGCACGAAAGTAAGTAAAATCTACTGGTCTGTTCTCAGACTTTTGAAGGAAACTTGTGGTGTTTTTGCACTTTAAGTGGTTGTAAACCCATACCCAGTGAAGTTACTGATGTCAGGTGATACACAGATTAAACGAATCCTTCTACATAAGTTGTACCTGTACATCCACATCCATTTGTCCTGTACATCCTTGTAAAACTCTAGATGAAAAGGTTTTTTCACAGACTCACAAGGCAGGGGGCAGGTAGCTGCAGTTGCACACTGTACAAGAGCTCTGAGAGTTGGTGGGAAGAGAGACACCCCACTTCAAGACACCACACAAGTACAGAGCTGAGACTGTCAATCACAGTCTGTGCTCTGGAGCTCCCTCCTCTGTCACCTCTTTACCTCTTGGTGTCAGAAAATTACAAGTGACTCTTTCAGATAACATAGGAACAAGGCAGCAGACAGAAATTACACTTGGTGCTCTGGATTGAGACACACACACTGTAGAGGGATATGCTTTGTTCATATTTCATGTCTAAAGTTTGCATTAGTTTTCTTTACTTTTTATTGAATATGTATTTTTGATTTTTTTTTTTTTTTTTTTTGTTTTATCTTTTATCTATTTACAACCTATTTTACAAGCTGGGTAGCTCAGGCTGCAATTTAAATGCACAAATTAACTAGAGCTCTTCTGATATCCCTTATTGGACTTCTCTATCTGTCATCTCACTTGGACAATCATTGTTTCCATATCTGTGTCTGTACCTGGACAATCAGCAAGCTGCATCTGCTCTCTATTAGCCAATCGATCGTACTTTGGGAATCCTTTGTCATGTATTGAGTATTTTTCTCTATAAAACGAAGCTTTGTATGCATATAGTAAAAACTGATATAAAGCAGCAGTTAAACTTAATAAAGTATCCGAATTCCCATTTGGACATATAATATGTGATTCAGTTCTTTGAAACTTGAACAATTGTTTTAATATTTTGCCAGGGTGGCCCTGGAGACTGTGGATCGACTGACAGAATCGCTGGATTTCACAGATTATGCCTCCCGAATAATTCACCCCATTGTCCGTACATTGGACAGCAGCCCTGAGCTGAGAACGACTGCCATGGACACGCTTTCCTCCCTGGTCTTCCAGCTGGGGAAGAAGGTACAGAGCTGATTGTTTTGCAGGCTTTTCCAGTCTTCCACATGAGCGGTTCATTACAGAGCCGTTACAGGCAGCAAGTTATTCGGATAATAGTGTAAATGTGCTAAATTTAGAAAGTGCTGTCAGTTTTCGTACTTTAAAAAAAAAAAAAAAAAAGCAAAAAATGATAAATTGTGGATGGAATTAGTCTCGTGGTTATATGCTCTAAAATAATTTTTTGATGGTGCGCTAGTCTTCTGTGGGGTCAGATAAAGGGTGGAGGTAGAACCAGGGAATACACTGGCTTCACTGACTGAAGACTGTAAGTGGGAACCCCCCCCCCCCCCATTCCTCATGTGTTTTTAAAGGGAAGCAAAAATAAATTTTCAAAATCCAATTTACCTCTCCGCGCAGCTTCTTCCTCAGCCCAGCATGGCCTTCTTCAGGCAGGACAACACTCTGGTCTTTCTGCCCATTTCTTGTGAACCAAGCCTGTTTACATGCCAGCTGGGCTTACAATATTCTGGGACTGAGCAGAACTCACACATCCTTACACGAGTTCCACTCAATCCGGGAAGAATACCTGCTCCCTGCCAACACCACCACTTCATTGGATTGGGTAGAAGACTGCAGGAAAAAGTGTGTGTGTGTGTGCGTTTTTTTTAAATTTTTTAAATATGGTGGGGGGGGCTGGTCATACATTTTTAACAATTGTAGCCACATTTGAGCCACTGGAAATCCCAAGTTATCACCAGAAACTAAGCAGCCTTCCTCCCACAAGTTTAGTTTATCATCTGTATTTGGTTGATTGCAATAAATAGATAACTTTATTATAGTTAATTGAAAGATTTAAGCTGAATCGATCAGGACAAAAAAGTCAGTTTGGTCAAAGATGCCTGAATTTTTCCATCACGTTTGATTTGGCAGTAACACACTTCCTGCAAGTTTCTCAAAACTACCATTTTATGTCTTTTTTTGGCTTTGCAAATTAAAGGATAAGTTCACCTTTTGGACAAAAAAATAATAAATACACACTTTTTTTTTTTTTGTCCAAAGGAGCCTGTAAAGCATTGCACAGTAGATCGCCGATGCCATGCAGATCTCCTGCAGACGTGTCAGACTATCTGCTTGCCGTACTAACTGGAAGCTTCAATGAACTACCACAGCGCTCCAAAGCTCCGTGGTGGTTCATTGAAAACTGCAAGCCCACAGCCACTATGGCTATTGGGACTTGTAGGCACTCATTCACAGAACGCAACCACGCCAGGGGCGGACTGACCATTTGGAAACTCAGGCACTGCCCGGAGTCAGTAGGGGGCCCCATGAGATGCACCTGGTACCTTTTTCATAGGCTTTTTTGAGTTTGGGCAAGGACACGGGCCCCATGATCCCCTATTGCCCGGGGGCCCCATGAGTTGTCAGTCTGCCCCTGAACCACGCTGTTTTCAAATCTTACAGATGAGAAGCTTCCCCATACTATGTCAGAGGGAGGGGGGGCAGCAGGTGCTTCTTCGGCTATGGGAACATGTTACATGTTCCCCCGTTTTTAGGGTGGAACATGTAACATGTTCCAAAGGTGAACCTTTAAAGCAGGGGTCTCCAAACTATGGCCCTTCAGGTGTTGTCTTGCAAGGCCTCATGGGACTTTCAGTTCCTCAACAGCCATAGGCAAGACTCCCAGAGGCATGATGGGACTTGTAGTACTTCAACAGCTGCAGGGCCATAGTTTGGAGACCCTTGCTTTAAAGGATACGTTCACCTTTGAGAACATGCTACATGTAACATGCTCCTGCAGCTGCTCCCCAATTTCCCCATCCTCACTGACGGCAGTACAGGGATTATTTGAAAAGGGAGTGGCCATGGTCTGCCCATACAGGCTTGTCATTTATTCACGGAGTTCTGTAAATGGATGAAATACAAGTACCGACAGCCTTTGCAGCTGTCTGCTTGTTGTTCTCTATGGACTTTCAGGGCACGGTTGAGCTCTCCAGGTTCATTAATTTTTCCTGTCAATGTGTGACTGCCCCGCCTGTAGGGGGTATGAGCAGACAGCTTACACTGACAGTCTGCAGGAGCCCTGCATTGCACCCACGTTCTGCTGATTTGGAGTGCAATGCTTTTCAGACTCCTACAAAAAGATGTACAATTATTTACCTGCACTTGCACAGCTCCATTTACAATGTGAAGCAGGTGACCACACACACATGACTTAATGTCTGCTGAGAGCCCAGAGTTCTGAAACCTGGAGTACTCCAACTTGCACATACTAATAATAGAAAGATTGGTTAATTGCTGGTTAGACTCTCTCATGCAGTTTAACATGGCTGCCAATCGTGTATAATACTCCGGGATAAGAAAATACTGTCTAAATACAAGAGTTGTTTGTATTCTTCCTTGAATCTTGGTGTGCTTACTGTATTATTTCCAGATTTGGGCTGCAATCCAGTATCAGATTTTTACCTCTGCTGAAGCTTTCTGTAACAAAGACCGGTCACTACTGCTCCTTCTCTGTGTGCATGGTGACTGGTCTTGTTTCCGCCTTCTCCTGTAGTTTTTTATGCAGACAGACTATAGTGGGTGGGGCCTGCTGGATCCCTCCCACAATTCTGCTCTTTGCACAGGCCAAGTACAGCACAGTGATGTCATTTTTACAAGGTAATAACTTGGATTTTCAAAGTCTTTTTGTGCGCAGAAAGTGTGTTTTAAATATTTAGGCTATTGAGGATGTAATAATTGTGTCTGGAGTTCAGCTTTAAAGATATCAGTGAAGGGTACAGGCCAGCCTACGACTTGCCTTCCTCAACATTTGTGCGTTA